ATGCCTGACAGTCACACACCTTAAACACTAATCCACATACATCGGTAGTGGGATCTCCCTCCAGGGTTGCTGACATCATGGTGGTAGTTTCCTTTTTTTTTTAATGAATATTTTTTTTAGGGTTAATTTGCAAAATACCCCCCTAAGTTGAGATATATGCCAAATGCCCCTGAAAGATGTGGGTTGTTTTTGGCCACTACATTGGTAGTGTAGTGGTGGGATCAGACCCTAAGGGTTGTGCTCCTCTGGAAATCTCTTCCAAGAAGTTTCTTCCTGGAAGAGAGAACTGCTTTTCGGCATCTGTCCACAGAACACATCCAGATTGAGGAGCTTAATCCAATCCTCTTTGCTAGTGGGACCTCGCCCCTGATGTACTAAAAAACCCTGTACCACTTGGGCATCGCCACCCCACTCTCGAAATGTACAAAATGTGAATGAACGTCTTGCTAGAACATGGCCAGATGCACACTCCAGATTTTTGTCTTTTGCACACTAAGAGAGTCACTGTGGCGTGTGCCACTGTGTGGCGAGGCCCTACTGTAGTTCTGGTTTCAAGTGTCCACGGATCCCGGCAATCCGATCTGGGCCCAAGTCCCACTTACCCCAGCCCTAGATTTCTGACCGTTGATACCAAAGATCAACGGCTAGAAATGAAGGGAGTGGTCTACGCCCACGAAATCTCACGGCGACAGGGTGACCAGTGACCACGTCCAAAACTGCTCGAAACCAGAAATAAATCTCCTGGGGTGTGGTCCCACTAGCAAGAGGATCGGATCGAACGCCTGAATCTGCAGGAAATCCAGATTGAACTGCTTTTCTGCATCTCTGCTTGAAACACGTCCAGATTCAGGAGCTCGATCCTATCCTTTTTGCTAGTGGGACCTCGGCCCTGTAAATGGGGGGCCACGGTGGTACGAGCCCGAGGTGGGACTTTTGCCTAGTAGGCTACCCCCGAACATAACGCACGCTAAAAATGAATGTATACGAGCTATATTTCCGGCCCGACACAGCCAAAATGCGGGTGCGTGACGAAGGTGGAGCCGGAGCTCTCAATACTTGTGACGCGCGTGCGTTAAGTTAGGGTTTCTTGTGCGCGGGGCTTACCCGCCATATCCCGGCACGCGAAGCACGGGAGAGGCGGTTCTCTTAGCCGTCGACTGCAACAGCAGTAGAGCAAGGGAGAAGCGGGTTTGTCCTTAGGGATAGGGAAGGTTGGGGGATCTCGGGAGTGAGGGGATGTGGACGCTAAACCTTGCTGAAATTATCTACGAACAATCTTGAATATGCCAGAGCCGAAGAACGCTGAGAGCAGCGTCCTTCCCATGGAATAACCCTGACCGCCAGAGAGTGATGTAGTCAGTATTCGGGCTGGATACATCTGAAACGCTTGGGAAGCGTGTCTGAACGAGAAACATATCTAGACACAGGAGGAAAGTTAAGAGCCGTGGATCCTAGTTTGAGCTGTTGAGGGACAGGAGCGAACCTCTCTATGACATTGGACGGAGAAGGTAGCCACGACTCAGCACTCTGCAGTAAGCATAGGGAAAGGAGTCTATCAAGCCGTTGAGGGGAAGACATCAACGGTGTCTGGTCTTGCCAGGACGGAAGCGAGGCATAGATGTGAGGACGTTTTTTTTCAGGATAAGTTTTGGCGGGCATGACGGCAGGGAAGGGAGAGAAGGGCTGACTCTATGGCAACGAATGGAACAAGGGATGTCAGTCTCCGGATTCAGAAGGCGGGCGGGTACTGATGTTGGCAAGGATATACGCGACCCGCAAGAAGAAGGTGAAACCCATCTTCAGAGCTCAAGAGATAGACGAGTCTTGGGGAGGAAAAGATAGATTGCTCAACTCCGCGGCTTCTAAAGGGCGAGAGTTCGAACTTTGCCGCAGATAACGAGGGGCAGGAAGAACTGCTCCCAAGGTTTTCATCCGAAAGCTCTTTCCGCAGAAGTTTTCAGATTTTGGTTTTCGAAGGAAACTAATCTACGGTATACCTTCGCCGTCAAGCTACGGAGTGAGGTAATGATTGGGGCTAATGCTTGTTCCAAAGTTGATTCCTGTCTCTGGCACTTTCCTATTTTGGACGTTCAGAATAGCCTACTAACTTCTTACCGTTCCTGCCAGTAAGCACCGATCCATTTGCCTCGAAGGGCTCTTATAACCAGGTGAGGGCGCTTTCTTCACCACAGGATCTGCTAACAGTAGATGAAGCCCAGCTAGGACACTTTTAGCAGATCTATAGGTTCAAGGTTGGGGAGGTGATCACTTATGCTTTTCCCTCCCAGAAAAGTAAGAAAGCTAAGGGAGAAAGCGGAGACAGACTTCCAGAGTTGTTGAGCAGCACGGTTGGAAGAAGGGGTCTGTGGTCCTGGTGGGTTGCAACCTGCGAAAAACGGCCAAGAGAGCAGAGGGGTTACCATCCTACGACTGGGAAGAGAAGTGAGGCAGGAGCGCTAGCAAATTAAAGATACTTCGAAAAACTCTGCTAGAGCGGGCCTCCTATGGAGTTCAATGTGTCATGCTGGAACTGTGGAGGTGAGCTAAGATGGGCCTGTGTGATAGGCCAGTGCCATCAGGATGACCTGCCTCAAAATCAGTGATGGTGAGAATGATGATGTGAATGTTGAGGCTGACGATAGTAGTGCTATTACTCTTTGGAATCAGAAGACGGGGGATGGTCATAAAGATGGTGATAATGAATCATTGGAATCATCTCAGAACGGTGATGATGAAGATGATAATGATGTTGTTGATGATGATGATGATGATGATGATGATGATGATGATGATGATGATGATGATGATGATGATGACGATGAAGAAGAGGAGAATGGTGATATGAATTGTTGGAATCAGAAGACCGGGGATGAAGTAAGGGATCTTGGTGGTACAGTCTACTGGGATAAGAAGAGAAGCGAAGACAGGAGAATGGATTTCAAAGATTCCAACGATATGAACGACCGTGAGCAGGAAGGCGAGGACGATAATGTTGAAAAAGCTCGTAATTGGCAGGAGAGGAGACGGGACCGGAGAGTTCCTTGGTGCTGCGAGAGAATGTTGTGAGTGTGTGTGTGTGTGTGTGTGTGTGTGTGTGTGTGTGTGTGTGTGTGAGAGAGAGAGAGAGAGAGAGAGAGAGAGAGAGAGAGAGAGAGA